CGTAAAGGTCAGTGCCCTCTTGGTGCTATGTTCTGTGCTGTGAAAACCATCAGGTTTGTGCTCGAGGGCCAGATGTCACCCGGGTACATTTCCTCCGAATCTGCGCCCAACATGTGGTTTGTAACATCTGGGAGCAGATTCGGCCCTCGAGCACAAACCTGACAACCCCCTGTACCCAAAACTGGACCGGTCCCCTAATGCTAGCTACCGTCTTCCCCAACATGGACCAGTTCTGTTCTATCCATGCTGGTTTATAACCTGGTCCAAAACTGGACCAGTTCTGTTCTATCCATGCTGGCAACATGGATAGAAAGCACGATCATTATTGCTGTATGTAGACTTAAAATTGCCCCAAATACAGTTACAATGACCGTGTGTTGTATAGTTGGGGCAAATGGTAGCCTGAAAAAAGTTAGGCCTGTTGGAATGGATCTTTTGTCCTTCCCCCCCTCCCTCCCTCCCTCCCTTCTTTCTTTCCTTAAAAGGGCAAAGAGACTTGAGATATCATTGTCAAGCTGGCCGCCCCTACCGGTTGGCAGCTCAGTATTTTAGTCATTTGCGCTCAGTGGGGTTCGAACTCAGGTCTGTACTTCAAGAAGAACAGTTCAGGGGTGTACCAACAACTGAGCCTAGGCCAGATGGATCTTCTTATTATATGTGCTGCAGCTTTCATGTCTTCTCTCTTTCCTGTTTGATTTTGCAGCAGAGTGTGATGAACTGCATTTCGTCTCCCMCCCCCCCCCCCCCCCTCCCCCCAACCCACAAACCAATGCAACATCTGTTAAAATTGGAAGGATACAGAACTTTTTTTTTTTTTTTTTTTTTGAAACAGAGAAGAGTGGCATGGCCCCTGGACAAGAATGACATGCATACATCGAGAAATGCTCCATTTTAGTTATTGAAAAAAGAGCCCGCCCTTAAACCCGTAGTTCCTCCGAGGCTTTATTTCCCTACCTGGATTGCTGGTGTGCGCCCAAAGAAACACAAAACTGATGCAGACGTAATAGGGCAATCCAGTTTGTGTTTCTCTGGGCGCACACCAGCCAGTACACTAGCCGCGGCAACCACTTTGTTCGGTACACTGAGCCCCTGTTAATGCAGTGTGTTAAACCGGCAGTACACGGCCCCGACCTTGCAGAATTTTTTTTTGTCGCCACAAGCAAAGCATAGAGCCTGATGGAGGGGCTGCGCGGAGCGGGGGGCGTAGAGACGGAAAAAAAAAAATCCGCGGCCTCCGAAATGGTGCGGGTTGCATGCTGACACCTGCGGGCCAATGTATGGTGTACTGGTGCTTTATATCTAGAGAAATTGAAGGCGCCTCTCCAAAAAGTTATGGGACTCGGGACAGGTACCCACCTGAGGTGGGCAATAATTTTTGATTTGTTCAGGGCTGGGCCAAGTGCCACCCCACGGCAAGGGACAATTTTGTTTTTTTTTTAATTTCCCCCCCCCTACTGGCCCTTTGGACACCCTGCCCCGAGCCTCCAAAATTTCAGCAGAGGCTCAATGGTGATTCTCAACTTGGCTAGGGCCAGGCACTGCTCCTCCTTTAACCGCAGTGTCTGGCTAGATGCAACTTGCCTGGGCAAGGGTTGCTGGAAAAGGGGGGGACTGGTGGTCTAAAGCACCAGTACCACCAGTGCCATGGTATCTATTTTGTCAAACCTTTTAAAAAAAGAACAAAAAAACTTAAAAAAAGACTAGTAGCAACCCTTGCCCAGCCTGCACCACTAGCACCGACCGGTGCATTGCGTTAAAAAAAAAAAAAAAAAAAA